CAAGCTTAAGAGCTGGCTCTCAATCACCCTGATGTCTCTGCACAGGCAAATTCCCTTGGATGAGGATGAGAAGACCAGAAAGGCAGTTGCTCGGAGAACTGGTGCACCACCAACCAGGAAGAGCCATCCTGCTGCACGGTGTTCAATTAAGTTAAAAGTTTAACTGTATTAATAAGAAATATTTACAGTCTGTCAAATCTCTACGTTTCTCTAGAAAGTTTCAATCAGCTCCAACATCTAGTACTTCACTGAATTAGACTCTGAAACAGGACAGCTGCAAAGTCCTTTTTAAAGATCTTAGGCTTCAGTTCCTTGGAAAGAAATGATTGCTCCACCACACTTTTAGATTTTTCCTCTCCACTTACATGCCCTCCCTCACTGTTCACTTGCCTCTTGCCTGGCGAGTCATATAGCACCCCATTCCCTCAACCTCATTCCCTGCGATTTACAGTAAAATGGATGAATATGTAAGATAACGTTACTTTTGGTCCAAGAAAGAAACTTCTTAAATAATACGTTAAAGCTAAAGCTGTAAAAGAAATCAGCGAACCTTCACAGAATAAATCCACACTTTTGGTCACCTAAGTAATATTTACAAGAGTGTGGAGATACTTAAGCTGTAAAGATCCTATCCTCCACAGAAAAACATCAGAACATTGGTAGTCTTGAGTCTTATTAACATCTTCTATATGAAGAAAGGGCAAAGAAACACATTTAAGAAAGGTCCTTTAGTGCCACTTGTTATGTTTTATCTGTCACCGTGAACTGTTCGGTATCATACATAAAGCATTCATCAGGAAAAACAGAAACAGTTTCTACTTGTCAAGAAAACAAAGAACAATGTGAAAGTTAGTACTATGGAGCGTAGTTACTGTGAAGCAATGCCATTTCACTTCTTTGACAGTTAGGATGATAATCAACAAAGCAAATGGACCAACACTAAGAACACAAGTTCTAGCAGTATTTTTTTGCTCTCTAATGGCATACAGCATGTGTCAAGGAAGTAGAGAAAAGAATAAAAAAAATGTAGGTGAGCACAGCAGAGGACTGTGAGATGAAATTCAAGAAATCAAAAGCACCTGCAGTCCGAGCAGAGAAAGGGCTCTCGATGCACAGCCCCTCATCAAATAAAGCAAGCTGGACTGCCAGTGCTCCAGTTAGCAACCATAATGAAATTTGTCAGCTATGTTGGATAGACCATGAGATTGCCTGCTGAA